CCAATCAGCTAACAACAAAAAGAGAGCACTTAAAAATCTTTAAATTGTCTTCAATTTGCTGATTTGACCTCTCATCAACAAACTCTGAGTTTGTTTTCCAGCAAAACACATTTTAAGCATTTGGAGTGCATCTGCGTAATGTTAAAAATTCCCTTTCTTCCTTGACCTTGACGCAGGGACTTTGTTCCCTGCGTTTTTGGAGGAAATCATTTTAACATGCCAATTCTTTTTTATATGTCTCTAGGAGAAAAACGGGTCATGAATACAAGGAGCAAATCATCTTTCCTTTCAGGCTAATTCGAACCATTTCAATCACTGCGACTATTCAAACACACTTATGAACACAGCCAGGAGTCCTCTTAATCGAGACTTTTTTAAATGGACCCCAGGCGCTACATGCAGCTTCTGTTATCTATTTTTCTGAAATTAATTTGTTTAGTCATTGTAAATGGAAAGGTAAATTCAATATCTTACATGCATAACCAAGATGTTGTTGGGTAAAAGTTCTACTCTCTCCTGATCTTACTTGAATATAATAACTGAATAACTGAATGAATATAATAACTAGACCGGTGTGATGTGAGCCTAATCACAGTTGGCGCAGATGGCCGCCGTGTCTCTGGTTCAGGGGTCCGGTCTTAACTTTGGAGTCATACTGCTCATCAAATCACAGGCAACGTTAAAAAAAGGATTTTCTTTTTTGTTACAGTGAGGACAGAGCGAGAAAAAGTCTGAAGGGCAAACTTTAATCATAATGTGAATCCTGGCTGCATAACTTGCTGGCAAAGTGCCTTTGAAGAAATTAAATTGAGATTAAAAGCAATTGGTTCCAACAGAAGCTGGGGTAAAAATTCATAAATGCACTTTCCACAAAAAAATAAACAGTTTTTTACTACGTAAGAATTGTTTCTACCTTTACTTTAAACAAATACTGATTATTAAATTGTAATAAAATTCTAACATTTCGAATCATGTATTTTGTATACTGATAAAACAAATGTCTTTTTCAGCTCACCAGTGATAACTAATAGATTAGTTAGTCAAAACATTTTTCATTTCTACTATGCTGTGTCCTAAACAAACACAGCCATCTGCAAAATCTTGTCACTCCATTTCTGGAATATCCAGATTCCAGGACAATTAGAAATGGTTGCAACAATTCATTAAAAAGTAAAGACATAACCAAGAATAGAGCAATAATCTGTAACATTTTTCAAACTTGGAAGTAAGTATATTGGGGCTCCATGTATTCTTTAACCCAACATTCAGGAGAGTCTTTGTGTGTCATGTTGATGGAAAGATTAACATATTTTTGGCTTTCAAAACTATGGGCACCTTTTGTTTGGAATATGGAAGACAGAATTAAGCAGTATGACCAAATCATGGTTTCAGGAATTGGCTTCTTGAAGGATATCCTAAAGCTCTTTTTTGGATGTGGGCTGCTATTTGTTCCATTCTGTCAGATCAGCCCACACTGCTTTAATAACGTTGAGCTCCGGGCTCTGTGGAGGATTCATCCCTCCATCCGACCTGTTGCCACTGATTATAGTCCACTACTTGTGTGATTTGGCAGGGCTCCGCCTTTTCTCCCTGTTTCCCTTCCTTAACAATGGCTCTTTTTCAGTTACAAGGACTGGGCAACCACTATCTAAAGAAAACTTTAGAATTCAAACGGCCTGAAGAACTGAAGCAAAATGATGAGTGACTCAAGACTTTTGCGCAACATTGTATCACGTTCATGTTTATTTTAAAAAAATGAGGTCAGTAGAAACTCCGAAAAGATAGTGTGATGGTAACGCCGCTGTGATCCCTGATAGCTGTGAAAAGCAAATCTCCATTCCAGACGACACACAGTGTCCCTCTCTCTCACAAATTCTTGATTCTTATTTCTTTCACATGACGAGGTGCAGATACTGTAAGTCTCAGGCTAGTGAGAGGAAACCCCAGCCTCAAGGCTGCAGTGGTGAGCTTTTCTGATGCTTCCTCCATCCCCAAAAACAGACACACACACACACTGATCTGCTCTTCATTATGCATACTGATATCCAATCCAGAGCACCATCTTGTGGGCATTTCAAACTCTGCCATTCGTCTAAAATGCCCCTGTTATCCACCCCCGATGAGCTTCTAACTGATCAATTGCAATCAAATGTCTGCAGAAGGTTTTATAGACAAGCTATAAAATGTACCATCCCCATATATTTGCTTTATCTGGCTCAACCTTTGCTTCCTATACAGCTCAGTTCGACACTTTGAGCTGTTTTTATGCGATTGAAGGCCTTGTATTGGGAAAGTTGGATCAAAGGGATATTTCTGAATGTCTCGGGGCCACAAATGTGACTAACCACGCTCCTCAGCATGACAAACATATCCTCGTCCTCTCGCCCACAGATCCCACGACTCCCCGCGAGCTCACGCAGATTAAAAAATCCGGCGTGTGCGTGCGCTGGCACGATACCCGTTTCCCCGGGGTGTGTGTGTGGCGGTGCATCCTCGCTGCCTGTGTGCTCTGGTGCAGCCATCTGGATCACAGTTGGAAGCACCTGCTCCAAGGCTGACGCCTTAACCGGCATCTGCTGCCTTCTCCTCGCCAATCATTTGCACCTTTTCCTCTGTATCAGATATTAAAAAGGTTTTGCCCAAAAGGCGTCGACTGAATGGGTTTGAAAGCAAAATGTGTCCTGTTGGTTGAGCTGTACTGTAATTTGACATGCTCTAAGGGATCAAAAAAAGGGGTTTGAGCCCTTCAGAAACATCCTGCTACATACTGTCAGTGACACAAACAAAGCTATCATACCCACTCACTGTAAAATGTCTCGGCATGATGTTTTTCATTGTTCCAGCAGTAAGCTGGTTATAAATGTTCCTTATAACCAGCCATAGCCCTCAACTCAATAAACCCCTACAAAGACTGTTTAGTTATAGCGTGCATATGTGAAGTACAAGCTAAAAGACTTTGTCTAACATGTTACCAAACTGTTTTAAGTGTGAAAAACCAAAGAAAGCAATTAAATTAGAAATTCGCTCCTTTTTTATATTGCTTTAAGGTTACAGGTAGGGCAGATATGGAGCCTATATGGAGCCTACCCCAGCTGTCAGTGGGCTACAATCTGCACCAATCTATAAAAGAGACACATAAACAACACAGCCATGCATGTGCACTCTGTGGGTCAGTCTTTAAATGATTATTTTCTTGTTTTAGTTCCAAGTTACTTTGAAATCAAGAGAGCTGTTGCTTTCACTCTCTGACCAAATCCAGATTGATTCTGTGGTGGAAATCCTTATAAAAAACCACGAAGAAGCTCAAGAATACTTCTTTTCTGATTTGCTGCCAATGGAAATAACTAAAACATGGGAAAAAAAGTTGGAACTCGATGCCTATGAATTGACACAAAACAAACAGATGAGTTTCCAGTTTCACAGCAATACATCGTTTTATTCTATATGACCATTTCAAGATTTACCACAAAAGTGGGCTAAATGTGATAGCAGCTTTGAACTCGACTCACAGGAACTCCACTGCATCAACCTAGAACCATCAGTCAGACGTCTCCAGCACATCATCCTCACCTTGAAAATCTCCTCTACTAACTTATTTATGACAGCCCAAGCCCATCGCTGGTTTATTTACCAGCCTCACTTGCGCTCGTCCGGATTTATTGACTTCGCATCAGAGGTCACGGCTGCTCCCGTGCACTCTGATTTGAGGTGGATCCAGCAGGATGAAGCAGCAAAATACTGATAATGCCCTCTGCTCACAGGAGGAGCCGCAAAAAAATAAACTCCATACTTCATCTGCTGATGCTCTGCTGATAGACATGACAGCTCGAAGCCCAGAAAACTTTGCGCACGACAGGAGGAAAAATATAGCCCGACCACGCCATGCTGTCAAAACATAGAATGTGAATGGCGTAAAATGGCCACAGCAGAGAGATTGTCAGTGTTTGGGTGGAACGTCTGGTAAAGCAGCGCTCACATCGCCCGAGAAATCTATTAAACCTTCATGGTGGAGCTGTCCTTCAAATACTGCTTTAGATACCACTGACTGACCTAACAGGTATGAACGAAATCCAACTTTTCTTTGCCTCTGATCTTAGAAAACTTGCATCAAGACATTGTTAAAATTTTGTGTTTTCCTTTTAAGCTCCCAAAATAAACAGAATAAAATATTAAAACATGATTTCTATCAAAACTAAGTCAAAATGCAGAATCAGTGTGGAAAAACTCACAAAGTCACATAGTCTAGAATAATTCAGTAGACAAATCACTTTATCACACTAATTGACTTAGTAAATAAGGTCCGGTGTTATATATGGTGTTGTTAATCTGAGTTTTTATTCCTTAAAAATCACAGATTTTTTTTGTTTGTTTAAAGCCCTAATCCTCTAGATCACACTTTAAGAAAAATCTTTATATTTTAACAAAGATCAAGACAAAAATTACAAATATTCTCAGTGAACTCAAATTCAATGATGACATGTGACTTTTAACAGGTTTGAATGAATCATTAATCAGTCAATATGACTCCGACCTCAAAATGTTTTGGGTTTTTCTCGTTCATGTATTGCAGCACAAGAAAACGTTTCAATGAATTTGAGAAAGAGCTGAAGGAGTTCATTTGGGTTCCATGTTACACAGATTTTGATGTGTAAGATTCAACAAGTCACTTATGTCAACTTTTCTATGGTGAACCACTAATTTGAAGAACAGTTCTGACTTAAAAGTGGCCTTTAGTTCTATTGTAGGTCTATTGTAATTAGACAAAGAGGCATAGTTATTCTTTAGCTTGAGTCTTAATAGGAACATACAAGCATTCATAATCAAAACCAAAACATATTCATCTTGAAAAACTTCCCTTATCAGCAGCCTGTGGAAATAAACATACATTTAGTTAAATATAAGGTTTTCCCATCATATATTGACTGCAGGTTGGGACTTGTGCAATCTGTGTTTTGATGCGAATTTATAAAGTCCACTGGGAGTAAACCGACTCGGTCACAAGTCCGTTTTTAATCCATCAGAGCTGAGAGAAAAGCTGAGCGGCGCTGTCCACATTAACCGACTCCTTCGGCGGCTCACGGACCACCTAAACATCCAAAAGACATGTGTCATTAATCCAATCCAAAAGGTTTAATGTTGAATGCCGAACAAGTGCATTAACAGCTCTATACTTCCTCCTTTACCTTAGCTTGGGTCTTCGGTTCAGGACAAACAGACTTGGAAATGCTCTTCACATCCCTCTGCACTTCTGTGAACATTTCATTTAGACTCTCCACCTTCTCATTTTTCACGGCATTGATCTGCGAAGCAACAAATTACACTGAGGCAGGTGCAAACACCACACGCTGTAATGGAGAGGATGCATAATGCATGTGCATTATTCTGCCGAGACGAAACGGGAGAGGTTTTACATGTTTGAGAGCTGTTGTGACGGGTTTGGCCTTGTTTTTCATCTTCAAATGCTTGTTAGCCACTTGAAAGACATTCTTTTGTTTTTTCCCCTTCTGCTTGTTCCTGGCCATGTTACCTGTGGAGAGAGCACTAATGAGCACGTACACATTCAGAAAAGGTTTTCACTTGAACACCATGCAGCTGACTTCTTCCCTTTAGCCAATATTTTTCCTACATACTGATCAAACAGCCTGTAACAGGCTTATTAATAGAAATACAGAAATGCATTCTTGATTTTTTCCACCCCTTTGATCCTGTGACTTCCTGACCAGCATCACCTCTCCTTATGCTGACAGCTAACTTTTTGGGACGGAAAAAAATCAATCAATTTGCATTTCCAGCTGGCTGTTTTCCGGCCAAATGATTGTGGACCTTATCAATGGGATGTTACCCTTTTCACACTACAGATGTGGGCCCACAGTAGTGGCAATATATCTGCAATACTGGCAGTGCCAAAACCAAAATGAGATTAAAACGGAGAGAAAAAAAGAGGGGGGGATCCAGCTGTCCATCCTGGAGTAGAATACAAGCAGATTTTTGCATATAAACAACAAAAGTGTGCCAACTCCTCAGCAGGTTTAGTGGTGATAAAAGCTTTTTTTTTTTGGCCCATTTTGTGTTCCTTTTGTCACTGTGGTGGTGTTCATTAAAAAAAAAAGACAAAAAACTAAGAGCTGTTGTCATGGTGATAATAGCGGCTGAGATACTGATTGGCAGCTTCTTTCATGGCTGTATGCAGAATCTGAAACATTAAAAGGTTACTTTGGAAGAACACATCTGCCAAAGTACATGTAATGCAGAGCCGGCTATTGTACAGATAATGGCACTTTATGCACAAAAGCCTGAATTTCACGCTCTGCTGTAAAAGTGCTTCACAGGCTTTCAGGAAACCGCACTGATACAAAAAGAAAGGAAAAAACCGACAAAGTAATTTCCATCTTTTCATACAATTCATATGAACAGATGAGGAAAAATAGCTCTAATGCACATAATTACTTGAAAATATTTCATCAAACAGAAACCATGGACATATTCAGCTTTTCTGCACACAGACTTTTAGTTGTGGAAAAAATATATTTTTTTAATCATGCTTCTTTTTAAGTCTTGATGGGTTATTTTTTTTGGTGGATAATAATCTGCAATAATGTCATTTCTGTATGTGTGTACTTATTTATGTGAAAGCACACCTATTTTCGTGGATAAGACATGAGGGCCTATAGTACATTTTCTGAAGTATTAGTTTTTTATATCTGGCAAAAAATTACTGCATAACAAGCTGCATTTCAATCAAACCATGATCGGTAGAAACATTAAATATACGTGAATAACTTAAAGATTCCATGGTTATTCGACATCATGGTCATTTTAAAGATTGTATGCTTCTGTTATGGTTGTATTTCTGTTCTCTGATAGTCACTTTGCATATTTTTGTTAGTAATTAATCTATCTATAGATGTTTTAAGTCACCTACATTTTTCTGGTTCATTTAAGTCTTTCTCCTCTTTTTGTGGGTTTTATACTGATTTAAAACAGAAATATGCTGTTCTAAACCAAAGATCCAAACAGCTTCTCGGTCTGAGGGGTTTGTGCCACGAAACCCAGATTACTGAACCCTCAATTCCTCCCTAAAAACAGAGATTGTTTTCCTACTTGACAGATATATTGTAACACAACGTGTTGCCTTTAATAATTGACCTAATCTTGGAATGTAATTTCCCAAAAACGTGTAAGCTATTAGTATTGTTTTTGCCATTCATATTTGTTGACCTAACGTTAACTCAGAAATGCAAACACGAGGAAAACATTATATCCGCAAGCATTTTCTTAAAAAGAAATAATGAATGATAAAACAATTAAAAGTGTTCAGACCTTCTTTCTGAGGCGATATTTAGGTGCTCATGTGGTTCGGTTAGCGTCCCTTTTTTGTGACGTCATTCACATACGACGGTTTTCAAGATCCTCCTTTACAGTGTCACATTAAAAGAAATGGTACAAATACACTTTATTAAGCAAAATATTACTATTACAACAAAAAAAAAAACAACAAACAGACTTCCCGTTGAGAAGGATCTTGCACATTCACCTCTTATATTTCTGGTATGTTCGTTTGAGTGTAAAAAATGTGCATGTTTCATGTAATTTTCTGGCATATTTTAAGTTTGTACATGAATGTGGATCTTTTTTATCTAAAAGAAAATAATATTATTGTTTTTAAAACAGTGACTAATAACTTTATTTTGCTTTCACTTTACTAGTTGATAGATAACTGTTATATTACAAGGTGGTTATTTTTGGTTGTTTTCTTATGCACACACACAGTCCAAATTAGCTCAAGGTGGGAAAAATCACTAGTTGACAAACCCACGTGTTTAAATTGATTTAAAGAATTTGGATTTTGGTTGACAAAGCCAAATTACACTACAAAGGACTCTGTGCCTTGTGTTTTCATTTAAGAGCAGCAGATGGCACCATTACACCACCACAACAGCAGTACCTGACAGTGTTGTGTGTTGAGCTTTGTTGTCTACAGGGATGCTGTTGGTCAGCACGGATGGAGTATTTGAGAGAAAGAAACTGGATGTTTCCAAAATTATCAGTGGTTGAGATAGATTCCACTTATAATTGACGTTAATATGAGAAACGAAATTATTTGCCTTGGGTTTATTTTTTCACAACCTGTAGCAGAGCCATCCAATTATTTTTAGCACAGCCAAGTGTGATGGTTGGCTTTGATGTCGGGAATTCAGTGCCATGTTTAGACTGTTCCTTTCAAACTTAACGTAAAACTTTCCAAATACAACTCTTGATTGTAACTTTAAGGCTAAATTAGGCAAATTGACATTATTGCAACCATTCCTGTGCGCAGGAAGGAGACGTGCAGCCATTAAGGTATATTACACTGTATTACGTTTTTCATAATAGTTTAACAAAACGTTTTTGAAAAATCAAAGGGGTCACTTAGAGAATGTGAATCAGCATCTCTTCGTCGCGTCTCAATTCAGACCAAATCAGCCTCACTCATCCAGGGCTTTGCAGCGCATCTTAACTCCTCCCGCGGCCACTGCGCGGACATCATGTGGGCCACACTGACGCACCGCGCACGGCTGAACCTATATAAGCACTGCAGCTGTCAGTTGGAGGACACTGTCTGCTCTGTGCAGGGGAACGACTTGCTTTAGGGGATTACAGCTCTACACACTCTTAGATCCTAACTGTAACAATGTCTCACGCTTGGGGATACGCAGCGACCAACGGTGAGGTGCTCATTGCACGTAGCTACATGGTATTTGGGTGAAATTACAGGAGTGCGTGTTAGAAACATATTAAGGGAGAGGTTGATTGATGAATAAGAACACCGTGCATATGCACTGGACACTGTAGGGTTTATATTGTCATCAATATGCGCATTTTTACGCGCACACACAGACATACACACCCAAATGGCTGGGTTATGGTTGATCTGCTTTAAATCTTATTTTACAGCTATATGACATTTGTAATAATGCAATAATTATATTATTTCCAGGACCCGACAAATGGGCAGAAAACTTCCCTGTTGCAAACGGACCCCGTCAGTCTCCCATTGACATCGTACCTGGTGAAGCATCATTCGACGCGGGGCTGAAGCCGCTCAGCCTGAAGTACGACCCTTCCACCAGCATTGACATCTTAAACAACGGACATTCCTTCCAAGTGACCTTCACTGATGACACCGACAACTCAAGTTAGTGCGAAAAGAACAACGCTTTAATTCAGACACATCGCCAAAACAACATTTTCGATTTAAAAATGTTCAGTTTTGTTTTAGATCTGATCTTAGCTTTGAGAAAACGCAATAAACTGCGTCCTTTGTCATTAAAACCGACCGTGTTTGCAGATGTGTGCAAAACACCTCTAAGATTAATCGACTCAGACAAAGACAGTCTGGCTCCCGATGATGATTCACTAAAGAAACCTACAAACCTTTGCATTCAGGCTTTGCATGCTGATATATTAACCCAGCAGCTGCCCCTCTTTCACATACGTACATATCAATGTAAAAAGAAGATTAATTTTCTGCCAATATGATAGATGCGTTTATCATGCGCCCCAGTTTCCTTTACGCCAGCAGGACATAAGGCATCGGTGTACATAAGGCTTTTATTTATTTTTTTCTTTGAATAATGTAGTATTTTTAGATTTCGATCGCCTTTTGGAGGGTTAGATAGCTGCAGGAACCCCATTGAAAAGCACCCCCTGAGCATGCAGATCGCAGGCTAATTGAATTGGTAATGTAACCCCCTGGTAAACCTTTCCCACGGTACAGCCTTTATACTGGTGGCCAGTTGGAAAAAAGGGGGTACCCTGCAAATGCACTCAGTCTCGGTTCACTGCTGATCCCCCACATTTTTCTTCATTGTGTTCTTGTTCTTGGGGTACCAAATATTATAGTCCTATGTCAGACTCTATTTAACTTCCTCGGATATCTGGGAATGAAAATGGTCTGTGAATATCTAGGACTGTGTTTCTTAGATTTTCGGATGTGGTTGCATAACCAGTTAGATCGAATATTGCTCCAAGTCAGCACAGAAGAAAGGAGAAAAATGTGTGGCTTCAGAGTATGGGTGGCTTAAAGCTCCTCCAAAGCTGCCGCGCTTCTAAATAAAGAAGTGTCTCTTTGATCAGGCCTCCTATGAGCAATGTGGAAAGGCTGACTGTCCCAGCTTCTGTATTCTAACTGTTTTGGTAGATTGTTTAAAAAAATGTCTACAGTGCCTCAAATTTCTTCTTTCCACTGTAAGCTGACCACTGATAAACAACTATCCTGCTGTGCGTGGTAAGATTGGAACAGAAATAGACCAATAGACAGGATTATCTACTACTGTGTCCACCTCTCTGTAAACTGTAAATATATAGATTATGCAAGACTGGAATGAGGGTTTACATCTTTTTGGCCTGAATGCAACTTTCAGTTTGGCCAAGGTTTACACAACAGGAACTGAGTCCGCTTCCACAAAGAATGAATGTGCATGGGTGTATCGCTTTGTATTCTTGTTTACTTTCTCATTGTGCTCGGCTCAGGTTGGAATCTCTTTAGCAGTATTTCCTTGCTACACTGCAAAAAAGGAGCACTGATCAAACTGAAGCACGGCTGACCGCAGAAACGCTCATGTTTGGCTGAACTGTTTGTTTTTTTTTCTCTTCAGCTCTGAAAGATGGACCAATCTCAGGAATCTACAGGCTTAAGCAGTTCCATTTCCACTGGGGGGCTTCTGATGATAAGGGCTCTGAGCACACTGTGGCCGGGACCAAATATCCAGCTGAGGTATAGAAGCTCAGGATGATTGTGACTGCTATAGTTTATGACAGATTTAGGCTGGCTGATGAGCAGGAGAGAGTCAGGAGAAGTGAAGCTTCCTTATATAATTTATTTTATGGATATTTCCTTTAGTCTTATAGGAAAAACATAAACATTTTACAATCTGGCAGGGGACACAGCACAGTGTCTTCTGACACTAATCACTAAAGTGTCATAGCTGTAAAATTGATTCACTTTAAGCTATGACAGGTTTTGTTTTTAGGTGTATAAGTGAAAGGAAACATCAACAGCAAGACTAATTTGAGCCACTGGGTCATATTAAGCTTTGCCAAAATTGACATTATTCATTAACAAACACTCAAACAAGTACCTCAAGTATTGAGAAGTTTAAAACTTATCAACCTTTAGTATCAGCAAAGTAGTCTGGGAGGTGAAATCTGTATCTCTGAATCTGATTTGCGAATGTTTATCTGGCACAGCCAACAGAAATTAAAGGCACTTTTGCAAAAAAAAGTATAAAGGTTAAAAAAATATGTAATTATATACCATATTGCTACTTTAGAGCCATTTTGTTTCATTTGACCACTAACTGACAGTTAGTTTATTATTACATTTGCAATTTCTAACCTTATTGGTAAAACAAATTGCTCATAGCTTCAAAATGGTCCACCACAGAAAATGTTTAGCTCATTTAAAATGAGCTAAACCGTTACAAAAGACCAAATGTAAAGATCTTGCCTGTTTTTGTGTATTTTTTCCCCAGCTCCATCTGGTGCACTGGAACACCAAATACCCCAGCTTTGGTGATGCAGCCAGTAAGCCTGATGGGCTCGCTGTTGTTGGCGTTTTCTTGAAGGTGGGTGGAAATAGTTTGAATACATATTCATTAACTTTTTGAATAATTGCACACATTTTAAAATGGCTTCATTTTTCCTTGTCCAACAGATTGGTGCTGAAAATGCAAGTCTCCAGAAGGTCATTGATGCTTTTGGAGCCATTAAGGCCAAAGTATGTATCCATGGAATATTCATTATCCCTCAACTGCATGAATGAAGGCATTCAATTAACATGCTGCTCGTTTTTTTTTCTGTTTTCAGGGAAAGCAGACTACCTTTCCCAACTTTGACCCTGCTGCACTGCTTCCGGGTTGCCTGGACTACTGGACGTACGATGGCTCTCTAACCACACCACCTCTGTTGGAGAGTGTTACCTGGATTGTCTGCAAAGAGCCAATCAGTGTCAGCCCTGAGCAGGTAGGCCTACTGACAGAGCCCACTCTTCTGCCGCAGAGGGGATTGGCTCTATTCCCACAGTCTAGAATAGCCCTGTGATCAAATCCTCTCTTTCACTCCAATCTAAATAAAGGGCTTAATTGTTGAGATTAACAACACTGCTGAAATGAGAAGAAGTGACCTCTTGTAATGGGAGGAAATGAAATACAGCCACCTAATTTTCAAAATGAAAAAAAGAAAACTTAGTCAGCCTAGAGAAAGAGAGCGAACAAGAGTTCACACAGAAGCTGTTGGCTTACCACAGCCATTTAGTGAGTTTGTGGAAAGTCAACAGGAAATAATCTTATCACATAGACAACAAACGCAGAGGACATTTAATCGAAGTGAATGGGTTATTCAGCACTTGAACTGTGCATTCAGTAACAACAGAACATCAGTTTTTGTGCCTACATTTATCTCACACGGCACAATTGAAATAGAAGTTGGACCTGTAGCCACCAATCAACCAAACTAAAAGCTTGTAGGTAGGTTTGAGCTTACGAATGGATTCTTTTGGCCCTCTGAACACAAGCACACCCAAACCTTTATTTCATAATTCTAAGAGGGCGCTTAAGAGTAAATGTGTAATTATGTGGATATAACCTTTAGACCCAGTATCCTATCAAGCTGGATCGGAAGTTACTGAATGATTACTTGGCAGTAAATTATGATAGGATTTAACCTGCAAGCAGCTAATAGCAGCTAACATGCAATTAGCAAGTGTATATGTAAAATGCCTTATGTTGGCAAGATGCCACCTTTCTTTCACCTTTACTTTATTTTAGGTCAGCGTAAATGATTAAACCAGTTTGATAGTTTTTAAAAAATAAATGTTGAACTTGAGGAAGAGGGGTGAAAGCTAACCTAAAAGTCACATAACAAAGAAAAATGCATTTCTTTCATTTATAGTTTAGAACCTTTTGAAAATTAGATCTGCTCTTAGATTAATTCTTTTTTCAGTGACATCGCCATTTTTTTTGTTTCTAGCCTGATGTCTGGTTAAAGATTTTAAATTCACAGCAGTCTTGTACTGAATGAACTTTCAGCAAAAATGTGTTGAAGAATGTCCAACCCTTGTAGATAACAGTAAAGCCACAGTCACCCATGGATGGCTCTGAATTGGAATTAACAGGAGAATTGTTTTTGTGAGGAGGCCTGCACTGACTACTGCCCTATTTCCCACAGATGGCTAAGTTCCGCAGCCTGCTATTCTCCGGTGATGGTGAGGCTGAATGCTGCATGGTGGACAACTACCGCCCTCCACAACCGCTCAAGGGTCGCCCTGTCCGTGCTTCCTTTAAGTAAAACTCCCTCCCCACCCCCCCATTTTTGCCCTTTCTGCCCCGTTGCCCTCTCCTTCCCATCCCCCTCAGAATGACCTCTCTTGCAGTGGATAACAAAGCACACATATCTCTTTCCGTCCAGTTTTTAAAGAAATTAAATTCCTGTGGGCCCGTTGAATTCAGTGCAAATGGAAAGCTGGAGCAGGATTTACATTTCTTGTAGGTGATAAGAATTGTCACGCTCTCTTTTAAAAGACCATTTTAAAGAATTTGTTTGGCTGTATGACGTTCGCAAAGGTGCTACATCCGGCATCAGTGGTTTCAGAGAAAAAGCAGTGTTTGTTTGGTCACCATGAAAAAAAGAAAATCTGTCAAAAATGGTGCGTTGGAGTTAGCAGGAAGCACAGGCTAGCGTGAGTATACAGGCTGAGGATTAAACTATATAACCATCTGTGAGAGGGGTAAGGTGCCAATTGTGGACACGCAGGACACTCCGGCTGCCAGTCTGTCTGTAATCTCTGAACGACTGCCGGCCTCTGCCACACAGCAGCTTAGTGGAACACTGCAGCCGCCTCCAGCCAGCGATTGACTGAGAAAATCCCCCTCTGGCAAATGCCCCCTCAGCCTAGCATGTGCACTCTCATGCAGACATGTTGTCAATAGCTTGTGACCTGCTTGCTGATTTAAATTGTACAACAAAAAACACCAATAGCCAGCTTTAAGCAAGTTCGAGTGACTGTTTACTGTCTAATCTTCTAAATTTCAATTGTCATATGAAGTTAAATTTTTTTTGTCAAGGATTTTTCTTTAAGCCATGTTGTGTAAATCAAGTCTTAAGTGATTCCTTAATTATGTATCGGAAACCAAATGCCCCTGCTCCTCTTGATATCCTGATAATGTAGCGATGAAAGACATCAACCTTGTAAAATGCAATGTGAAGAAAAATGTGTTAAGTGCTAAAGCTTAAAACGCACAGTTGGTAGTGCCATAATAGCCACCCAACAACAAAGCCAAGGAAGAAACGACCCTTCCCAGGAAGCCAAAAAAGACAAGAACCTGCCAATGGAGAAGATTATGTTGTCAACCTGGATGTAGGCCCTGAATTGGAGAATAATGAGACTATGTAAGACTCTGTGGTTATAGTGTTTCTTACCACAAATGAATCTTCATTAATGTTGTAATTGATCAAAAAGAGAAAAAAGTAAAGCCTTATGCCAATCGATGTTAGGCCTGTCCCAGGAGAATGTTGTCATTCTATTTTGGAAGTGGACGTTTGCTGGTTGAATAAATATATTTTATGACTAATCTGTGCCTTTTCTATTTTTGGGTCTGCTCTCATTTTTCTTCCTGTTCAATAAACTGCTTTTTGGCACCAATAATCATGTTTTAGTCACCTCTCTGATTTACTCATAAACTTCTGCTTTGTGTTCCTCTTAATTCATCTGAATGACTCTATTTTCACCAGATATCAAACCCAGATTAGTGTTTCAGATACAAATAAATTGTTATTAAAAAAGAAACCTTAATGATGTTTAATCTATTCAAATTCTTGATCATTTCCTGTTTTGGTTTTAGTTCCTAATTTTAGTTTCTATTTTTTTGCCAATATCATTACAGTAATTCACTCTTCAAAGGGAATGGCTTGTTGAACAACAACTTACTCATATCTACATATAGCCTAATGTTAAGCCTTTTTGGATAGTTGGACAACATGGAAATGTCAGAGAGGGGGGGCATGCTGGTTGAGCCTTGCATAAGACTCTAACTCCACTGAATGTGCTTGTTTGTGTTACTTACCGTCATTAGCAACAAAAAAGAGATTTTAATCAGACTTCCTGTGTACCATTTGAGAACAAATCGCCTGGTCCCATGTAAAGATGTGAGTTTTGCTTTGATGGGATACTTTATAGATATATTGTCAAGGGCAATTATGTAAATTAAGCTCATGAACTTTCTTGGTAAAAGTTTGCCAGAAAAAAACAAACGATCTGTTAACCCAGCTGAGCACGAAAACTTCACTCAGCTGTTAGTCTCATCTCATTCCCTGTTTTTCATTCTGACTGAGCTTGTTTATGTACAGCAAAATGAAGGAAGAATTATCAAAGGAATGTTTTATCTAAAAAATGACTACACATAAAAACTAATTGTGGTTGAGGAAGTATCTTTTCATTTGGAAGATTGGTGGTCTGATAACATACATCAATGCATGAGTTAAACCCTGAACACTCACTTCTGAGCCAGTTTAGCTGATCTGTTTCCACCAACTTTCCACCATCTTGCGTAACATCTTGGAAACCATACCTCGCCTTTTTAGCCAGGTCTTCTGTATTTGTGAAAAGTGCCAGTACAAAATGCTCGAGATGGCAGACACATTTACAACCAATTCTGGCCCTTGTCATGGCACAGGTAAGTATTGCAAGATCCAGCCCTGGCTCAAGGAAAATGAAGATTTAAACCAGGTGTAGTGGATACATAGGTTAGCTTAGTCAGCTATTCACTGAGTTTATAGCATCAGTCAGAGCTAAACTGGACAAAGAGGATACTGTTGATTGGGTGAAAACATTCTGAATCATAACATTATGTGCGCATTTTTTCTTAACTTTTCCATTTGAAAAAGAACTGCACAGTCCCGTTAAGCAAGTTATTTAAACTACCACTGTCGATCAGTGGGTGATTAGTGAAGATTTATTCTCTATGTGCAGCCCAGTGTCAGCTGATAACACCTCAGTGTACTCAAGATTTTAATCAGCAGTGGCATTTCGCTCAGTGTGGAAATGCGGGCAGCTCTTGACTTCTCACCTCTTGCGAACCCTCGACAGGAAGACGAGCACAGCGAGGTCTTTCTGCCAGCTTTGTCTTGCTTGCTTGTGCTGTGCGTGCCCGTCGATGACAGGAAAAGTTGACTGAGACACCAGAGCCCAGAATAGAGCTGCACTTTGAACCCAGTGACACCGATGTAACATGTGTCCTCCAAATGCATCGATACAAATGGAGCTGTCGATAGTGTCTGCCTCATTATTGCAGACAGAATCAATGATGTGCTTTCATAATTGCACAAAGAAAATTTGCCTCAAGCCACATGTGGTTTGTGGAAACAGCTCTGCAAAAAAAGCTCCATAAAAGTTCAAGCCAAGGTTAGATATTTAATGACTAAAACCAGTAGTGCCAGAATTATATTGCTTCATCTGTCTTTTTTTAGATAAATACATCCCAATAGTTAAAGGATGCAAGTAAGGATTTGGTGTCAGAAATGGCACAGTATGACAAAATAAGCTATACAGCTATAACAAGAAACTGGCATAATGCACAAGAACCTGTTGGTGAAGTTCTTTTGAATGAAATACCATTGTTTACCCCCACCTGTAATACATTTCAACAGCAATGAGGGACGGGTAGCTTCGAGTAGAAGCGGGTTAAGATAATCAAAAGTCAGAGCTGCAAACATTGAAGCTAACCATAGGTAGCGGGACAAAGCACACGGTCAGCTCCTGGTTCCAGTTCACCGTGCAAGATGGTCTATTCTATTCCAACCAATGCGATGTGTAACCTCTGTGTACTCTTGGTGTAGCTTATTGTTGGTTTTTAATGCGCTTACTCAAAAGTTTCAGTTCCTGTAACTGGACAATATACTAAACAAATGAGTACACTAGTTTTTTCTTGTACAACTCAGATTCTTGTTCCGATTTTGATCAGTTTTTTATTAATTGTGACAGCCAAATGACATGTATGAACAAATTCAGAGTCATCTGTTGCAGCAGTGGCTGGATTGTTTAAATAACCATCAGTCTTTGCTCACCTTTAACCCCTGTTGCTGTTTCTGTATGGCTTCCTGCTACCCTTATATCTGGCGAGTATGCTTTTATGTTACCTCGTTTCATCTCGGTATTGTGACAGCTGGGTGAAAGGAAATGCCCTGCTGGGTGCCATCATGTAGCACAGATGTGACCATGCATGTCCTACCTCCTTCAGCACATGCCTCCCTATACTGACGAGACTGTAACAAGTTAGTCAGCAGGGTTAGCAGATGTGTGCTACAATGTGTAGAGTGAGAGACGCTGATCACATGTTGTCATTTAAATTGACTTGAATGAATTTGGACAGGCAGGACAGAGAAATCGGGGCTAATTCTGTAGGGCCAGTGAATGGAATAGATTGGACACACACCACGGTCAACATGTCACACATTTTTTCACAGAGTCCTCTGACCAGTAGTGTAGTTTGTTGCATAATCAGGCATCGCAGCCGGGTGACATATATCAAGGAGACAGGAACTGCACACTCAACCATTTGCTGTGAGACGGGGGGGGGGGGGAATGCACACCACAGCAGTTCGGTCAATAAATCTGACGCTGCATTTCAGTTTGATGAGCAGCCGTGGTGAAACCTGACCCCTACGCAGGGACACTGATGTCAATTTCCATTGGATGTGTGAACCGACCGTAATGTTACCAGAGGTTAGTTTCCCTAATCATTTTTCCATGCATGTTGTGAAATTGTAGTCTTCAAATCGGAGTTTGGAAGATCACCATTTAAAAAAAAGTCTTCAGTTTTGCTGGAAGGATTTTTATGAAGATTTTGTGCCTATCATGAGAAGATTTGAACGTGCTGATTGATGAACATTACCAACTACACACATGACTCATCAGGAAAACCCCAACCAGAAAAGAAGTTTAAAAAAACAACAACAAAAAACAACTGAAAAGAAACTTTTCCATACATGTGTAATGTAGCCCTTATCGTCAGCTAACATTTCAGCTCAAATGCACGTAATGTGAATGAGCCCGTGTCGTCCAAATGTCAACATCAGGCCTTCTTTTGGATGGATTTTGGGTAAAAAGAATGTTGTCTGAAATAGAAAGACACATAATTTTAGCGCTAACTCACTAATGAATGGCCAAAGAAAAATTAGTTGAGTGTTCTTTAAATTCGAACATGACATAAAAGTCTTAATTATGTTCTCTTGGAGCATACACTGAGGTTTGCCACTTTAAAAACTACTGGACAACGGTGAGATGAGAGCAGAGAAATTAACGGAATGATAAACCTTTCTCTGCTACTAAAAGAGAAATCTTTTAGAGAACTGTAATCTCACAGATGTTGGGTGGGAGGCCTGAGGAATGCATTGATGATTCGACCTTATGACACAGGATCACATCAAGTCATATGCTGACTGAGACATGGTCATCGGACATTGCAGTGGACACAGTGTTTGAAGGAGCTAGATACATGACAATGATTCAGGTCAAAGGTCAACCTGAGCCACAAAAACACAAGAAACTAGTTCAGTGATATCTCAGTTTATCTTAAAAGACATTCTCATTTTATATATTCATCAGTTTGCCTCATAGTGTACATTAATAATTATTGAAAGAAGGGTGGTCTGAGAGACCATTTTTAACATGTAAACAATAAACATGTTTCAGAGAGTCTGAAAACTGGATAGAAAACTGGACTAAGAAATTTACATAAAGTTATCAACATAACTACAGGAGCGTGAAACTATTTGAAACAGAGCAGTTCAGGATACAAAGAATAACACAAGAACTGAACAGTTTGTCTTCTTCTCTTTGCTTGGTTAACTTTATGAAGCAAAAACTTGAAAAGCTTGGAAAAAGTCACAACGGAGCAATGATATCAACTCGAGAAACATCAATAAAGAGCCAACATTTAACATTTTGGATGTGCTTCTCCTTGATCCAACTCAGAATTTAGTGTTTTCTCAACGTGTTCAATTGATAAACTTTAAAGAAGACCAACATTTCTACAGAGGAAACTTTTGAAACACAGTTAATTTGGCTAAATAATCAATCTCTTGGTGGATAAGTTGTCTTAAATTGAATAGATTTGTGTGGCTTTCCTCGAGGTGAATGTAGTGGCCACGTTCAGATCTCTCCAAGAATCTATGTTGTTTCCTACTGTTCCCTTTTGCCACTTTCAAAAACATTGTTTCTATGATGAAGGAAAGCGTAGCATGAATGGCATATTCATTACATATCTGCCTCTGTTGCAAAATTAGCAATGGCTTCATGTGGAGAATCAAGATGTCATCAGTTCAAAGATAGTGTCCAGGAAGCTCTCCACTTTACACAAAAGCATTTTTCAAACTGTGAGCAAGAATGGCTCCACGTAAACATTTAGACAGCAAATTTCCTCCACAATTTCCCGCCCTCAGTCTTCACTGCCGCTCAATGTAAATGCCTCTTTCCCGAAATGTGAATTTCACTGACATATCTGGAATATCTGATGTTCTTTGTGATTCCTTTTCTTCAAAAACAATGTTTGATCAGAAAATACATGTTTAAACACACAATGTACCCTGAGCTGAGGATTCAATGAAAGAGTTCTTATCTTATTTAAACAAAAACATTGCAATAATTACCTAATCCAATGTAGGAAGCACATGCACATGTTAGGTTGGTAAAGTATTAAAATAACGTGGAAAAAAAATCTCACCAGGCAATGAGTTGGCTCGACATGATAAAACTAAAGCAAACAAATCCTCTTGAAAAGAAAAGTGATTTAAATAGAA